AAACTGGTAAGGTAATGCTTATCAGTTATCCATTTAAATGGCTACATTCTTATATCCCTAGAAAGAAGTTACTGTGCTTTAAACCTAGTTTACCAAATGGGAGGTGTTTGTCTCAGGAAGGATAGGAACGACAGATAAGGAATGAGTCATTTACATTCAGGTAGGGCAACTGAAGGATTAGAGAATAACGAGGAAATCAAAGATATTTTAATACTAAATAAAGTGTTTCAAATTTTCAGAAAATTCCAAAAATTATTCAATAAATTCTAAATCTGAAGGGAGAAAGGCGCTAACACTCCAAGTTCAGCTACATCCCCATTTATCCGTATTTTACATGAGACATTGACAGAGCAGTTTTCCTGCCTGGCTTTCTTGGGAGCTAAGTAAGGACTGAACAGCCACCAGCCTTCTTCCCTCCATGCCAGCCTCTCCAAACCATTTAGCTCAAGCAATTGTACATCTAGTCACTATGGGGGTTTCACTTTTCTCCAGAGATGTAAATCACTGTTTAATTAAAGAAAATGTTGGATTGAGCATATGGGGTTTCTGGGAGAGGAAAAATGCAGGCACTTATTTCACCTCAAGGGCTGAATTCTAAGTAATAACAATTCGTCATATTAAACATCTGCCAGTTTTTCCACAGCGCCACATTCTTAAGTACTTCAGGTGACCCAGAATTCATTACAATACCTGTAGTTGTAGTGATTGCCTTGTGCAATGTGCTGAATGAAGTGTTTATCCCTGTGGTGTTCTATCCTAACACCACAACTTTATGGGCATGCTAAGCAGTTGTATGGACAAGCAAAACAACTGGACCATTTCATACAAGCAATGTCCTTCAAGGGTTCTGTTGCTTAGCATGGACACACATGAAAGAAGTATTCTCTACATCTAAGTCCTCTCTCCCCGTTACTTTCGCCTTAAGTGAAGTTCACTACAAGAACCAAAGCAATACACACCCCAACAAACCCCTGCCAAATCAGCATCTTTTAAGACAAAAAAAAATGGTTTGAAAGGTGTCAGCCCTGAAATTGTCAAGGTAAATTCCCAGTCCTTGAGGTCAAGATTACATTCTTGGTCTCACCTTCTTTAGTAATGACATCCGCAGTTTCTGCAGCTTTATCTTTCAGATCCTTCACTACATTGTCCAGTTGAGCCTCATGCTTCAAGAAGAAAGGACGGATAATTCGGTTGTAGAGCAACTCTGCTCCATTGGAAGGGCTTGGAGCCATGCACCACACCAGAAAACCACACTGCACAGAAAAAACAAAATCAAGATTGGCATTAAGAGAGGAAGGATAAGATTCAGGAGAATCACAGAACTGGAAGGAACCTTGAGAAACAATCAAGTCCAGTCCCCTCACTCACGACAAGCCCAAGCACCATCTAGATCATGTCTATCTAACCTGCTCTTAAATAACTCTAATGATGGAGATTCCCCAACATCCCTAGGAAAGTTACTCCTGTGCTTCACTAGACTGAGAGTTTAAAAGTTTTTCTTAATGTCCAACCTAAATAACCTTAAATTATAGCAAGGGAGGTTTATTTCAGTTTGAGGCAGACACACAGTGTGGGAAATTTCAGCCTCAAGAGTTGAAATTTGGTAAAGTTATAAAGCAACTCAAAGTAGGGCTTTCTAATGGGAAGTGTCAGGCAATTTTAATTGGTGGTTGGAACAACCCTATCTAGATTATAGAAACTCTGATATTAAGGGGTTAGAATTCACAAACTGGGCCAAATACAGATCTTTTTATAGCAGCACACCTGGAGGGTAGTGAGCTTTAGAAAACTCCTGAACAAGAGGGATAGATCATATTCTTTAACTGTTCACAAACAGGTTGTCGGTGTACTCAGACTTTGTCAAAAGGGTCCATCATGATCATCTAGTCTGACCTCTTGCACATCACAGGCCACAGAACCTCTATTGTTCCATAACCTCGGGCTGGGTTACTGAAGTCCTCAAATCGTGGTTTAAAGACTTCAAGTTACAGAGAATTCACCATCTATACTAACTTAAACCTGCAATTTTTACTATTTTGTTTTAATTCCCTTTGCAAGGCCCAATTCTGTTTGGCTTTTGGAAGTTTTTCATTTTATCTCTACACTTTCTGACCTTCAAGAGGTAGCCTTCCTTGATAATCCCTCTCATCTTCCATTCTTAAAAGGATAGCAAAATGTCTGTCTTAAAAAAAAAAAATCACCTGTTTGAAAAGATTGCTCTGTAACTCTTCCCTATGATTTTCCCCCTTGCTTGTGAAAGCCTCCTGAACATTCAGATCCTTGAGTTCAGTTAACTTTACTCATCTTCCATTCTTAAAAGGATAGCAAAATGTCTGTCTTAAAAAAAAAAAATCACCTGTTTGAAAAGATTGCTCTGTAACTCTTCCCTATGATTTTCCCCCTTGCTTGTGAAAGCCTCCTGAACATTCAGATCTTCAGTTAACTTCACTTCCCTAATTAATCCCCCCCCCCCCCCCGATTGTTCCTCTCTATCAAT